ATATGGGTCATAATCCCTGTCTGGACAGAAATCTTGGCTGGGAAGGTGTTTCATTCAGTGTAAAAATGTCCAGGTTTGTAGGTCCAGAGCTGGTAGGGGCCTCCCTCTGAGGCCCTGGAAGAATAGATGACTTCAGTCCAAGGTCACCCAGGTAGTAGATATCAGAGGCAGGATTTAAACCCAGTCCTCTGACCTCAGAGTCAGTGTATCTTCCACCTCCTAAGAATGATATTCTCCCAGTCCAGTGTTACACATCACAGTATTGAACTAGCTGATTCCTTCATTCATTCAGCAAACATTAAGTGCCTACTGTGTGCTAGGCACTGGGCTAAGCACTGGGGATACAAAAAGAGGCAAAAGACAGTCCCTGCCCTCAAGGAGCTTACAATCTAATGGAAGAGACGACATAAATACCAAGCAGGCTTTATGCAAGATAAATGGGAAATAATTAACTGAGGGAAGACCCTGGAATTAAGAGGGCTTGGGGAAGGAGAAGGCTTCCTCCAGGGGGTGGGGTTTTTTTTTGGGACTTATAGGAAGGTGGGGAGGTCAGTGGTCAGAGGGGAGGAAGCCTGGAGGATATCTTGGCTTTGCCTTAGAGTCTGGTCTCCCAACTGGAAGTTTGGAGCGGTCCTGTTTCTTGAAGGTGGAGTCTTCCTTCAAATGGGTCAGGCTAAAAGATATTTAGACGGGAAGGTATTTCTAGGATTTTCTTTGTTTGGGGAAAATGTATTAGACTATGTCTTTTTTTCTGAAGTGGGTTTAGGCTGGAAGGGGTAGTTTTTATTCATTCATTGTCTTCTCCTTTTTCTCTTTCTGTCTGGCCTTTGTCCTTTCTTTTCTCCTTTTCTCTTGCTTTCTCCCTTTCTCTTTGCCTCTCTTCTCCCAGTCAGTCTCCCATCCCACCAGGTAAATTTGCTTTCTGCAAGGAACAGCCTCGTTAGAGCTAACAAAAGCAGGATTTGTAACTGAGCCCCAGGGGATGATGTCAGGAATGATGGTGCCATCTTTCCCCCTTCTCTCCAGCCCCACCTTGCATGCCTGGTCTAGCCAGACATGGCCCCCATCACTGCCAGCGCTGGGTGGTGAGGCTTTTGTAGTCTTCCTGGGTAGCTGGCTTTTCTTTCTCTTAAACTCCAGGAAAAATCCTGGGTCATGGGCCAGTCATGCAAGCACTGGCAAGAAGCAGTCGGGTAGGGGGAGCCCTCCTTCCCCAGGCTTGGGGCCATGGACTTCCCTTGCTGGGGCAGGAGAACTTCACAGGCTAATTAAGAAAGCTGGGAGGCTCTTCTTGTGGAAAGGTGACTTACCAGCCACCCCTTCTCCTATCTGGCGTGCGCGCAAGTACACACACACACACACACACACACACACACACACACACACACACACACGCACACGCACACATGCGCGTGCCTTGGTTGACAGCTGGCAGAGAAAGCTGACCTGCTTGGGACTCTGAAAAGCAGATCCTTGCCTTGGTTGGGTTTCATTCACATGGACGGGGGTCATGGGGGAAGAGCTAGACAGTGTCTTGTGATGGAAAGAGCAGGCCTTTGGGCCAGTGAATGCTCTGATCCTCACAGACCACCTCCCCCCACCCACCCCACACACAGCATCTAGGCGAGGCAGGAGACTTCCTCTCAAAGCTGGGCTTGGCTGAGGGCAGAGGAGGAGGCAAAGGAGACAAGGCTGTCTGTCTGCACAGCAGCTTCAGGCATCTGGGAAATCCAGACAAATGTGATGTGGCTTGCCCCATCCCCCAGAGAGCTTCCAGGCCCATTCCTTTTCAGCTGGGGCTGAATGAAATGATTAATATGGGCCCCCTTTCCAACTCTGAAAACAGTAAGGACTGGAAGGTATTTTAAGTGCACCTTAATCTCCCCAACTAGACCAGACTAGTTATTCTTCTTAGATACCTAGGACAGTGCTCTGGATGTAGTAGGGACTTAGTAACTCATTGTTAAACTTGAACTATTTGAGAAGTAGGAAAAAAGGAAGAAGTTTGGGGACACTTACTAGCTGTGTGACCCTGGGCAAGTCACTTATGTTTGCCTCAGTTTCCCCATCTGTAAAAATGAGGATAACAATAGCCCCCACCTCCCAGAGTTGTGAAGATCAAATGAGAATGATTGTAAAATGCTTATCAGCATAGTGCCTGGTACACAGTAGACGCCATGTGAATGTTGGCCATCATCCTTATCACTGTCATCATTATCACCGTCACCACCATCATCTCATCATCACCATCACCATCACCATCACCATCACCACCGCCATCACCATCGCCATCACCATCACCATCACCATCACCATCACCATCACCATCACCATCACCATCACCATCACCATCACCATCATTTCTCTGCAGCCAAATTAGATTCTGCTTTGGAGATTTAGTAACTTTTCCCCAGTCCCTTTGTTTAGTCTAGGGCTGAGTGTGACCTTGAGAGAGGCCTGAGGCCTCCTGGAACACTGAGACTTCAAGGTTAGGTGGTACAATGGAATGTCACAGGGCTTGGTGAGGAGGCTGCAGCCAGAGCAAGCCTTGGTTCACTTGGGAGGCACTGTGTTAGGAAGGACGTGGGTCCCATAGGAGAGTGACCAGGCAGGAGGGGTGAGAGGGGACTGGTGACCCCGTCAAGAAACGGGTCCGTTACAGAAGCTGGGGATAGGGAGCCTAAAGCTTCCCAGCGTTGGGGGAAAGGGTCTTCACGTTTTCTTGGCCTGGGCTGTGGAACCAGGAGCAGTGCCAGGAGGATGCAAAGAGGTGGCTTTTTGGCTTGGCGGAGAACTGTCTTGATAGGTTGAGGCATTTAAAAGGAAAATGGGGCTTTCTCAGCAGGTAGTGAGCTCCCCATCCCTGGAGGTCCCCAGCAGAGGCTTGACGAGCACTTCTCCATTAAAGAAGGTTGGACACTAGATTATCTTTGAGAAGCAGGTCCCTTACCCTGAGATTCTGGAGCCTTTACTCTGTGCCTAGTGTTTTGTGGGTGCTGTTTGGAGAGACAGTCTGGCTTAATGGAAAGAGCAGTGAACTCTGGGGATCAGAACAACCTAGGTTCACATCACAGCTCTTGGCCGTGTAATAACCTGTGTGAGCCTGGGTGGCTCCTTTCAAACCCTTGTGGGGCACAGTCTGCTCGTCTGTAGGGAGAGGGTAGGTCCAGGACCTATGGTTTCATTGCCAGAGGGAACTCCCAGGTGACAAAACCTCCTTTGCCAGTACAGATCGACACCTCCTCTACGGTTTAGAGACTGTCAGAGAGTTAGCTGGCCACTGAGAGGTGTCCCCCAACCAGGCCATGTCAGAGTCAGCTCTTTCAACGAGGCCTCCTCTTCTTTCTCATCTGTAAAATGGAGATAATGACATTTCTGCCTCCCAGGATGCTTTGTGAGAACATGCTTTGGAAGCCTCTGGCGGTCTTCACGTGGCTGACCTGCACGTAGCCCTGGCCAGTCTGCCCAAGTTGAGGCACACTGCCTCCCTCTCAGTGGTAGAAATGAAACCTATAATTATTATTTTTCCTTAGGGTGTCAGGGGGGATGCCATAAGTGCCTCTTCTGTGACAGGCTCCAGATTACAAAGGTAACAGGAGGGATGATCGTGGAAATTCTTGGGGAGCCATTTTTCTTTGTATAACCTTGAGGGGGGTGGAAAGCTCCTTGAGTGTCACTGCTATGGCTTTGGTGTGAACTGTCACCTCTGGGATGTGGGGCCCCCCTCCAGCTTTGATCCAGCCCACAGTAGATGCTTAATGAGTAGTCACTCCTCTTGTCCCTGTCCTATATACCCACTAATGGGAAGTGAGTTGGGGGAAAGACACTCAAAGTGCTGGGCTCCTTTCTCCAGATCTCAGTGTTGCATGGATACCATTGTTGTATGGTGGTCCATCCAGCTCTGCCCCATGAGAACAATGATGCCAACTGGCATGAATGTGTGGCACTTGAAGGTTTGCAAAGCGTTTTACAAATATCTCCTTTGATCTTCACAACAACCTCTGGAGGTCAGTGCTGTGGTTCCCATTTTATAGATGGGGAAACTGAGGCAAACAGCAGTCAAGTGACTTGCCCAGCATCAGCCAGCTAGTAAGTGTCTGAGGTAGGATTTGACTCAGGTCTTCCTGTCTCCAGGCCCAGCACTCTGTATACTATGGTGCCCTACACTATAGCTGCCGTAGATATGCCCCCATACCAGATCCCCTTGGCCTTTCTGCTGAACTGAACAGTCCCATCCCCCAAGGTTTGCCCAATCCTTATATTTCACATGTATCTAAGGGAATAGGAAAACCAGCAGTTAAATTTCTTTCTTTTTTCCCCCCACTTAATAATATTTTATTTTTCCCAATTATATGTAAAGATAGTTTTCAACGTTCACTTTTATAAGATTTTGAGTTGCAAATTTTTTTCTCCCTCCCACCCTCCCTTCCCCAAGATGGCAAGCAGTCTGACAGGTTCTACATGTACGATCACATTAAACACACTTCCACATTCATCTTGTAGCAGTTACATTTAACTCAGTTCGGCAAACAAGGAGCATTTATGTCTCCTGTGTACAGATGGCTGTTTGAGGTGCTGAGGGTATAAAGAACTGGAAACAGGTCAGTACATTTTATTGAGGGACACAATGTTCCTAAGGCCTCTTCTCTAGAGCCAGAAGAAGGGACCTCTGGCCCAAATGAGACCACGTCACATAGAGTTCTTTGCACACCTTCAGATGCTGCTGCTGAGTTGTCACCCTTAGACTTCACATTTAGTGAGCCCCCTGCTCTGTGTCTGGCACGTGGAAGGTGAAGTGTGGCCAAGGAAGTTTCCTCCCATCAGGGCTTCCCACGAGCAGGAAGATCGTGGTTCTTGGGAGCCTCTTGATGACCTTGGATGGTCACTTCCCTTCTCAGAGCCTCTCAAATGAGGGGGAGGGATTTGCCTAGATGAGGTTCCTCAAAGTATCTCTCCAGGGTCACTTACCCCCATTTTATTCTCTTTCCCTCCCCGCGCAGACTAGAATGCAGAGCCTACATCCAGATCCCAAAGCCCGCTATACAAGTGTATATGGCGCCCTCAAGCAAATCATCCGGACTGAAGGCTTCTGGAGACCCTTGCGGGGCATCAACGTGATGGTGATGGGGGCGGGGCCAGCCCACGCCATGTATTTTGCCTGCTACGAAAACATGAAAAGGACTTTAAATGAGGTCCTCCACCACAGAGGAAACAGCCATCTGTCCAATGGTATTTTGAAAGCATTTGTCTGGAGTTAGACTGCTCTGTTCTATTCTACAACAGACCCTCCCCTCTCTGCTTCCTTGGGGCTTTCCCCCTTGGGTGACCCAGCAAGCTAACACACCCAGTCTTCAGCCTGATTGCTTGTGAATAATGAACCGTAGACCTGTCCATATCTATCTATATATCTATGGATCAATAGATCTATAGATAGATATAGAAATATTCAATTTTTCTGAACTTTGGGGAACTTGACAACCAAGGGGTGTGCTTGGTTTTTTTGTATTTTTTTTGGTTTTTTTTTACTTTTGCTTTAACACTCAGACTCTTTTCATAGACCTTTATTGATCAGACCTTAAGTAGAAACCAAACATGTGAATTCAGGCTACGAGAAGCACTCTCTGAACAGCCTCTCTCAGACTATGCTTAAAAAAAAAAGACCTTTGGCGTTGCAGCAGCATCGGCGAGAAAATCAGGCTTTCAGAGATCTTACAAGAAGTGTTACTGACTGACTGGAGGCGTATTCTGCAGAGCAGACCACCATGTGTCAGGATCTAAGCTCCTGGGAGGGTGCCCCCTCCCACCCCTGTGGCTCGTCTGAGTCACAGCTTTCTGGGAGCAAGGGATGGAATAGTTTACTTTTGGAGGAGAAGGGGGGTGGAGACAGGGTTTTGTGAGTTCTTATGTACAGCTCTTCCGTAACGTTCCACGTGGGCTTGAGACGGGAGGGTGAGTTAGGAGAGGAGGGGGGTGCACACGTGTGGGTTTGGGGCTTTTGTTTTTGTTTTGTGGGTGGTGGTGTTGAGGGATGATGGAGGCCCGCTTTGCTGGGAGCCCCATCTGGGCTTCTGAGCTTAGCTGGAGAGATGCGACCTGCTTTCTTCAGCCCTCCTTTCTCTGATGCGACCTGTAGCAGCTTTCTTCTGCCCTGCTTTCTCTGCCCCTTCGAGCAGCAGACCTTGGTAATCCACGTCCTAAGTGTGTTCTGTAGAAATGCGTTAAGAACATTCACTGAGATGTTATGACCACCTAGGAACAGTCTTAATTTAGGTGTTTGGTGATTTCAGTCCTGAAACAGGCCCCACTGGGAGTGTAGTGAGGTTTGCAGACATTGCGTACCCTAGAGACGTCCTCTCTGGCCTGTCCTGGTGCTGACTCTCCAGGCTGGCCGGAGGGTGGATGTCATTCCTCAGCTACCCTCCCGCTCCTCAGTGGTAACGTCACTTACTTGGCATTGTCATCACTGAATAAGAAAGCTCAAAGCCCCAGGTAGGACTCCTGGACCAGTGCTCCTGGTTCTTGAAGTTTGGCTGGGGACCTGCCAGTGGAGAAGCTCACAGTAAGCTCAAATTTATTTTGGACATCTGCAGAGTCCCTTTCCTTCCATTGCTGACCCGGCCTATCCCCATTCTAATTCTGTAGGACTTAGGATTTAAGCCTCCTTGGACCTTAAAGGTCATATCTGGCCCAGTCCCTGTACTTTACAGCTGGGGAAACTGAGGCCCAGAGAAATGAAATCACTTGCTCCAAGGATTTGAACCCAGGTTCTCTGATGCCTAACCTAGCCAGCTTTTCTGCTGACTTCTGTTTGCACTGTCCTTCAAGACCCCTCTTCTTTTCATTTCCCTCTGCCTTGCCTTACCCCCCTCCCTTGGGTGGGCTCCATCCAGGCTAGAACTGAGGAACTGAATTGAATTACTGAATGGGACAAATTGAATTATGAAGGAGAGGGCAGTGAGAGTGAGGAAAACCCACTGAAGGTGAGGGGGGAGAGGGCTGCTGAGGGTGGTTTCTGTGGGCTCTCTGGCCTCAGCTCCTCCCCAGAGATTCCTTGAGAGAGCTGAGGCCTTCTCGGGAGGTCTGCTGGAATTTGCTGAGCTCTGTGCCCTTCCCCCACCCCCGCACCCCTTCACATTCTTACCCTTGCTTGGGGCCTTTGGGGATAAAAAGCAGTTAGTCACCTGATGGTAAGTGGTTTGGCCAGGCCTCAAGATGCTTGGGTTGAGGTCCCCAGGGACTGTGCCCCAGCAGTCTGCTTTGGGAAGCTAACTGTCTGGAGTTTGTTTTGCAGGGATAGCGGGGAGTTTGGCCACCCTGCTCCACGATGCCGTAATGAATCCAGCCGAAGGTAACGTGTCCCTGCCCCGGGGAAGGGGGAGACTGGAGCAGGTCCCAACAGCATGGGAGGGAGCAGTAACCGCTAACTCAGGGGAATAGTTAGGAAGACCTAGTGCCTTGTTTCTAAAGACCAAGAGAGCCCCCAAAGTTTATTTTATTTGATCACTGGGCTCCTTAAGTAAATAAGGTGGTTAATTACTGAGGCAGGTAGGTGGTACAATAGGTAGAGTGCTGGGCCTAGAGTCAGGAAGACTTGAGTTCAAATATGGCCTCGGACGCTTATTAGCTCTGTGACCTTGGGCAAGTCACTTAACTGTCTTTGCCTCAGTTTCCTCATCTGTATCGTAGGGATACAACACCATCTACCTTACTGAGTGGTTGTGAAGATCAAGTGATAAAAGTATTTGTGAAACACTTAGCCCAGTGTCCATAAGAGGTTCTATATAAATGCATATTCCGTTTCCTTTTCTTGTTTAAATGTGATTGCAAAGATGTTCTTAGATCTGTGATTTTGAGGAAGGGACCAAAGGGGCTTTGTTTTGGAGGAAGTCCAGTTTTTCCAAGTGTCTCTGGTTCAGGCCTTAATTACTTGAGCTGATTACAGGTTGTGAAATGGAAAGGACCTGAGTTCTCAGGCAGACTTTTGACTGTGTGACCCTGGGCAAGTCACAACTTCTAGGCAACTCTCTAACACGGGTTCTTAATCTGGGGCCTGGAGCTGGTTATTAGAGACATTTTGATAACTATGTTTCAACATGATTGGTTTTCTTTGCAATCTTAAGTATTTTACTTTATGCATTTAAAAAATATTCTGAGAAGACAAGAAGTCTGTGGGCTTCACCAGACTGCCAAAGGGGTCCATATTGAGAAACGAGGTTAAGAATGCTTAGTCTAAGGCTTTGAAGTTGCAGAAAAGCTGCCAACATGCATTGGTGGAGGGCATTTCTTCATAGAAGATTGCTGTTATCAATGAAATCACAGGTCCGGTTTCTATCCCTATCCCCTTAGTGATGGTACTGGGCATAATGAGTTATAGCCTCATGGGAATCCTGGAAAGGACCTTAGAGGTCACCAGATCCAGCCTTCCCATTTTGTGGATGACAAAACTTGAGGCCTAGAGAGGTTAAGTCACTTGACCAGAGTCACACAAGAAGTCTGTGTTGGAAATTAAATACAAGTCTTCCGACTCCAAATTCTTTGTTCTTTCCGTGGTACTGTTTGTTGTCTGGATTTAAAACAGCAGTAACTGATCATGTAGTCCAACCTCCTTATTTTATAGATTGGAAAACTGAGGCCCAAGTTGGGGGAGCAGTGACTTGCCCAAATTACACAGATGGTAAATGGCCACAGTGGGAATCCAGACCCAGGCCTGTAGACTCTTTGTGCCTTGCTGACCCCAGAATAGCTTCAGGCAAAGAAGAAGCTGATAGGCTTCTTTCATATCTAGTGGCCATGGAGCTAGGAGGGAATACCTCCTGAAGCCATTGAAGACTAAAGGCCCTCTTGGTCCTCCAGGACTGGCCAGCCCACTGCTGTCCAGCAATTGAAGTGTGGGACATAAACCATGAGGAAAGACCTTCCGTTTGTTAGCCTTGAAGTTCAGCGGTGTTTCAGGGGAGTAAAAGGGTTCATTTTAGTTGGATTTCCTCCCGCTGTCTAGGTCGAGACACCCTGGAAGAGCTGATTGTTTTTATTTGTAAAGTAAAAGCTAGAATGATGAGTAAGGACTTGGCAGCGTGGAATATGGGGAAGAAATAGGCCGCTGCTTCCGGTTTCATAAACATCAGCTGTCTGAATCAGTGCAATGGTCTCAAAGAGCTTACAAAACTTCCTGAGTCCTCCTCAAACTGTAACTTCACACCAGACAAGGCAGCTTTGAGGCCAGGAAAGACTGATTCTAGAAACATCATAATCCATTAGCATAAAATTTCAGGAAGAAAATATCAAGGATCAAAACTTGTTATACCTCATAGGAACTAGAAGGGAGCTCAGACTTACTTAGGAAACTGAGGCCATGGAGATGCAGGGAGGGATTGGCACAGTCATATGGCTGTGTAGGATTTGAAGCCACACTCTGTACATCCAGCACTGTGCCTTGCCGCCTCACCCAGCCTGGGGACCTCCCTGTTTCTTAAGGGAACTCCTAGCCCCATTGCCTAATTTTACTTTGGGATTTTTCCCCCGTCTCTAGGCTGCTAAATGAATGTTTGATCTTCATAAACTCGAGACTTTTGTGGCCTTTCCTCTCTCTCTTGTCTTTAGAATTAAGTCTCCTTTTTACATATTTAATGGCCGGCCTGAAGGAAGCTGGAATTAATTTACTTGCTTTCTACTAGTGGGACCACCGATTGAAGAGCTGTCTTGTGGGAGAGGGCTTAGCCTTGTTTTGCTTGGGCCGCAGGGGGAGGCTTGGGGAGTGAGGGGCCCAGAGCTAAGAGCAACGGATGGATGTTTCCAAGGAAGACTTCAGTTTTGTATAAGGAAGATTTTCCTTCCATCATTTGAGCAATTCAGCTCAGCGTTGATAATGATTATCGAGGAAGGCACTGTGGTAGGTTCTGGGGATATAGAGACCAGCCAAGAAGAACGGTCCCTGCCCTTATGGAGTTGATGTTCTAATGGAGCTAATCCCAAAGAGGAATGGGCTGGCACGAGAACTAGTGAGTTCCCCAGCCCTAGAGGTCTTTAAGCAAAGAGTAGCTGATCTCATATTAGAAAATCAACAACTCAATTCATCAGACTTGTATTAAGAGCCTACCTGGGTCTATGCAAGTCTTTGAAGGCAAAAATGGAGCAGTCCCTCCCTTCAGGGAGCTTACATTCTACTGGATTGTAGAGAGGATTCTTAAGTATGGATAACCTTTCTGGAGCTCAGTTTCCTCATCTGTAAAATTAGGAGGGCTGGACCAGATGACCCCTAAGGTCCCTTCTGGTTCTAGAACTGTGATCCTAGGTGGCCTCTGAGATCCTGTGTGTGACCTTTCATTAATTCCCCAAGCCAGCTTCCTCTTAAGAATTATTTAATTGAACCTGGGCCCAAGGGAATTCTGATAGGCCATTGAAAAGCATACACATGTCATTTAGTCCATCAGTAAGCATTTATTAAGCATCTACTGTGTGTTGGGCACTGTCCTAGTTGATGAAGATACAATTACAAAGAATGAAACAATGCCTATTTTGAAGGAAAAACAGCCTAGGTTGGGAAATTTGGAGTGAGCCTGGGGAAGGTCATTTCAAGTCTGGGTGGTCATGATAACAAGAATTCTCATTTCTGTTGTGCTTTCAAGGATGCAGAGTGCTAAAGCAGCATTAGGAGTAGGGGTTCTCATGGCTCCCTCTTCCTGCTGCTGGGGCAGGGAGGCCCGGGTCAGGGAGTTGGAAGCAGGGTGAGACTTTATATGAGGCAATGAAGACAACTTGGGGATAGGTAAGGCAGGGCTTCTTCACCTGGGGTCTGGGGACTTGAATGGGGAAAAGCTTAGGTTTTTATTTTGATTAACCTTTGGTTTTCCTTTGTGATCTCATGTGTTTGATCATGAAACATGATTTTGGGAAGGGTCCCGAGGGCTTCGCCGCCGGCCCCAAGGGTCCAAGCCAGGGGGAAGGTGAAGAACTCCTGGGTTTGGACTCTGAGTCATGGGGCAGATCCAGCCTGGGCTGCCCCAATGCACCACTCATGGGTCCCCAAGACCGAGGCTGCTGAAGCTCTGTGACAGCGTCTGTGTCCTTTGGGTCTAACTTGCCTGTTTTTCTTTATGACTTGCCTTCTTCTGCATCTCCATAATATGGGGTGGCAAACATCTCTACCTGGATCACCCGGACCATCGGCGCCCTCTTCTGGCAGTGGTGAAGCAGCGCATGCAGATGTACAACTCCCCTCATCATTCGGCACTAAGATGCGTCCGGGATGTGTGGAGGACCGAGGGGGTGGGCGCCTTCTACCGGAGCTACACCACCCAGCTCACCATGAACATTCCCTTCCAGTCCATTCACTTTATTACCTATGAGTTCCTTCAGGAACAGATCAACCCTCGCCGAGGTTACAATCCCCAGTCCCACATTCTCGCCGGAGGGCTGGCGGGCGCCATCGCTGCGGCTGCCACTACTCCCCTGGATGTCTGTAAGACCCTCCTTAACACTCAGGAAAACGTGGCTCTCTCCTTGGCCAATGTCAGCGGACATCTCTCTGGCATGGCCAATGCCTTTCGGACAGTGTACCAGCTCAATGGTATTTCTGGGTACTTTAAAGGTATGCAGGCACGGGTAATCTACCAGATGCCATCCACAGCCATCTCCTGGTCAGTCTATGAGTTTTTCAAGTACTTCCTTACAAAGCATCAGATCGAGAATAGAACTCCATACTAAAGGAACAGACTATGGGGAGCAATTCCCGTATCTTATTTAAAAAAGAAAGGATTTCCCCCTCATTTCCATCCCTCTTTCCCCCATGCCCCCGAACCAAGTTTTACAAGCTTCAGGGTTTCCCGAAGCACCAATGTGATTCTTGCAGGGTGTGTGCCACTGACCGGCTCTTCCCTGTGGCCAGCCTTGAAAGAGGGGTTGGGGCTAAAATGGCGGCACTGATGGCTGGGGAAAGATTTTAGCAGAAGAAAGATGAATGCCTTCCTCTTCCCCCTTCCTGTCTTTCTCTCCCCTGCCAGAAGAATGAATGTGACTTTTTTTCTTCCCCTGAAATCCTAAATCGCACAGAATAGGGTTGGGGAAGGGGGGGGGTCTGGATAGGTGGGGAGTTTGCACCTCAGAGACTTAAGATGTTAAAGACAAATTAAATATGATATGTATATAGAAGTTCCATTACGCAATATAAAAATAGATGGATAATGTTTATCCTTTATTTTTCTATGTAGAGGTTGAATTTGTGTGTGTGTGTGTGTATGTGTGTGAGAGTGTGCAAATAGCATTACAGTTGAAATTTTAAAGCGCTTTTTTAAAAAAATGAAACAAAGGGCTCAGTTTCTCCCATCATGATATATAATTAAGCACCAAAGCATCTTTACCCAACCTCCAGGGGTAGCCTGAAAGCCTAGAGGCTAGTCACCCTCCCTGCTCCTCTGACCACCCCCACCCCCAACCTCCATGGAAGTTTCCCTTGAATGTATGTACTAAACATTGAGTTTATACTTTAAAGTTTTTTTTTTTATGGGGAAAAAGGTACATTTTTTAAAAAAAATCTGTAACCAAGAGAAAAAAATGACTATTTTGTCATTTCTTCTCTTTACACACATGAGACGTTAGGTCTGAAAGAGATACCAGAGGCCATTTGAGCTGACTCCCTGTGTATATAGATGAGGAAACTGAGGCTTGGCAGGGGTGAGGTTATTTAAGTCATTCTCAACAGAGTGTGACTTCCTGTAGTCCAGGATGAATATCCTCTGTTTCTAAGGCCCTGGAGAGCAAGTGTTCCCTTCTCCTGGACTCTGGTGGACGTTGAGTCCTGGGTCCTTTGAGGCCCTTCCTGTGAGAAAGGACGTGGCCAAGTCATCCCCTGCTAACATCCTGAGATGGAAGATTTGAAAGGGCATTGGTTGTGCTTGTGTGTAGGATTTTGGTCTTTGTGTGAGTGTGTGTATGTGTGTGTTCTGAAGTTCCATAAAAGGCTTGTTTGTGGCCAGGGCAGTCCAAGACCCTTTTCTGAGGACTCTTCTCTTCCTCAATGGCTAAAGTGGATTGTTTCTAGGACAGATGTATATGTAGCTGGCACATGTGGACAAAGCAGGTGTTTTTTCTCTCCCCTGATCCTGCATTTTCAGACAATTTTTCCTGTGGCATTACTTAGGGTCTTGTTCTTTCTGCCCAGCTTGGAGGAGGGATGGGGGTGAGGGAGGAGGTACCTTGCTAAAAGCTCATCTTTGGTTTTCCATGCCTTGCAAGAAGTGCCAAAAAGAAAGTGTGTGTGTGTGTGTGTGTGTGTGTGTGTGTGTGTGTGTGTGTGTGTGTGTGGTGAGGGTGAGGGTGGGGGCAGGGGCGGGGGTTTTTGGCTTCATCAGTGGTGAGGAAGAGTCGGAGTTGCAGAGAGGCACAAGATGCTTGGGATGGTTTTTATTGGGTATTTTTCTGTTAATGACTCAGGCCCTTGTAAGTTTTGTAGTGTGTCCTGAGTGACAGTCTCCTAAAAAAAAATACAGACCTGTGTTTTCCAGCCCATTGCTAGCTGCCAGCCCCGAAGTCAGAGAAAAGACACACTTAATTAGCTGCATGCTTCTCCTTGCCCAAGTGCCTGTCTCTAAGTCTCAGCCAATGGGCATTTCTTTTGGCAGAGGCTCTGAGAGGGCCCCAGAGACAGCCAATAGCCACTTGTCCTGGACCCAAGTGTCTCCCATTGAGCGTTCTGACCTGGGGATAGGCACTTGGTGGGGGGTGATTTCTAGGGAGGAGTTGACTTCATCCCTTTGAGATAGTACCATGGTCTTGGGGACACACAGGGAAATGTGGGTGGGCCCCAAGCAAGGGAGGGGGAAATCTTTGCTTGGTGATCCCAAGGGTTTTTCCTCTGAATCCAAACACTTAGAAGGTCTGTCTTGACTTCATTCATGAAGATGGGAGTGCCAAGTTGAGTTCCGTCAGAGAGAAGCGTGGCCTTGTTGCCAGGATCTAGATAACCTTTCTGAGCCTAGTCAGAGCTCAGGGGGACTGGGGACAGCAGACAGGGCAGGGACAGGGTCCGGATTGTGTCTATGCCATGTTGGGGGTTTGGGAAGGGGGAAGTGGGCAGTAGAAAGGTTGAACCTGCTGAAGCCAGAGCCAGGATTAATTTATTTTCTAAAGTAGTGTCTCATCCTTCTTCTTTTCCCCCTCAGCCCCCAGCCATTTCCTCTTCCTCCTTAAGCTTTTGTTTCAAATGGTATTTAGAAACTGGAATGCCCACTTGTCTAGGTGAGGCTTTCTTTAAGGAAGGGGCCTGCTGATCTCTTTTCAAGACTTTCCAAGCCTGGGCTTGCCCTAATTCTGCTTGATTCAACAGGCAACTAAGTGCCTACTGTGTGCTGGGATTCCAAGGCAAAAATGAAATCATGCCCTCCCTCAGGGCTCTGTGTCAATAACCTTGAAGAGCACACAGTGCCTCGGGCCCCTCCTCGGACAAGTTTCTTGTTTGTCTGTGCCTTGATGTCTGGACGGATGACTTCTGATATGTAGGAACTGTAAGACAAAGGTTCCGCTATCAATTGTAATGGCTAAGATAAACCTTCAGAACTTGATTCTTCTCCCCCCATTACCCCAACTCTGCCTTAGTTACTGGGTAAATCTGCCTGGTTTCCTGATCTCTCTGTCCTTTTTATTGAACCATACGAGAAGCTACATGGGTCCGCCTTTCGCTCTTAGAGGCTGCCTCTCCCAATGCACCTGTACTGCCTGGGACCATTGTATTTGACGGGGGCGAGGGGAGCGTTTCTTGTGTTTTGTTTGGCCTGTGAGATCCACATGTGTTTGCTGCTTCATATCTGCAAGAACACACAGTGTATTTTTCTTTTTTAAAGGGAGCAAAAGAGTGTTGTTTAAAATTTTTTTAAAGGTTGTGATGGCTGCCTGTAGTTTGTATCAAACCCTATTTCTCCCTCTTTTCTGATTGTTAACCAGCTGTTTGAAGAAGGAATGGGGAAGGTCGGGGGCGGGGAAAGGAGTGTGCCTTGGTGTGTGGGGTCTTTGTTTCCAAATATGCTGCTACAGTTGTACCACTGGAGCTGGAGGAAAAAAATAAAGTATTGACTCATCTGTCTCTCGTGTGCCATGTGGTGGGGGTGGCATGGGGGAAGGTGGAGGGAGCGGGGCTGAAGAAGGAACTGAAGGGATGCTGAGAAGGGGCAAGTTAGAGCTGGGATTTTCCAAGGGATGCAGCTCGGCTAGAGAGGTACATTGTACCGTAGCTGTAGAGCTGGGAGAGACCGCTGATGCCATCCAGCCTGACCCATTCATCTTACAAAGAAGGAAATCAGCCCAGAGAAGTGATTGCAGCTCAAAGATTTACAGCTGGAAGGGGCCTTAGAAACCAGCTAGTCCAAGTGCTTTACAGAGAAGGAAACTGAGTCCACGTTGGTTAGGGGCACCCAAGTAGCACATATTGGAGCCCAGGTTCTCTGACATGAGGTGGAGTGCTCTTCACTCTACCCTACGTCTCCCATGATGAGGCATTTAGAGATTATCTAGTCCTAACACCAATTTTACAGAAAAAGAAACTGAGGCTGAGAGAAGGGATGATGGCAGCACAGTATTGGATTTAGAGTCAGGCAGGTAAGTTGCACCATCTGCCTCAATTTCCTTATATGTAAGAGTGGGGATAATAGCATCTACTTGGAAGGGTTGTGAGGATCAGAAGAGATGTAAAGTGCTTGGCAAACTGAAATGCTCTGTCAATGCTAGCTGCTAGCATTGTATGCTCATTGGGGTTTGGAAGGGACCTCAGAGGGTCTGGTTTGACAGATGGAGAAACAGGTACAGGGAAGGGAAGGCTCGCAGAATCAGCTGGATGGGACCTTGAAGGTAATCTTGTCCAGCCTCTTACTGTAGAGGACAAAACAGACTTGGAGATTATAGGACATTTAAGGTCACATAAGTAGGGACAGAGGCAGGATCTGGACTTCAAGTCCCCTCCCAAGTTGGTGCGCAAATGCGCTCTCCCACACTGCTGCTTCAGAGACATGGAGATACCTTAAACTTGGACTGCAACCCTCTCTTTTTAAAGACAGAAATGAAGGTCTGGTCTTATTGATCTCAAACTGGAGGGGCCTCAGAGATGACCGAGGCCCAGGGGAGGGTCTTTGGGTCCTCAATTTAGGGCTGGAAGGGACTTGGGGTCATCTAGTCCAACTGTCATTGACTGGGGGAGTCATACTGGAGCTGAGATACACAGCTAGGGTCCTGCTGGCCACCAAGACCACCAGTCTGCCCAGGCCTGGCTCTTCAAGAGCTGGAAGGAGTAGAATGACCAGAAAAAGGCAATCGAGAAGGGGGAGAAGACAGGGCATGTGATAGCAGAGCATGAATGGCCATCCTGGGGAAAGAGGGAAGGAAAAAGAGGGAGGGAGGGAATAAGCATTAAGCACCTACCTAATCTATACCAGGCACTGTGTATAAACTCCTCATGTATGTGTGTGTGTGTGTGTGTGTGTGTGTGTGTGTGTGTGTGTGTGTATATATATATATATACATATATATATATATATGAATAACACTTTATTAATATTATCTCATTTAATCCTCACAACAACCCTGTGAAGTAGGTACTATTGTCCCCCTTTTACAGATGAGAAAACTAAGGCCAACAGGTTGAATGACTTGCCCAGAGTCACACAGCTTGAAAGTAGCGTAAGTGTAATTTGAACTCGGGTCTCCCTGACCTCTGGTCCAGCCCTCTATCTGTTGTGCATTTAGCTGCTTGGAGTAGGAGGGTCTGCGGGTGAACACCACCTTAGAAAGTGGTGTACAGCTTCCTTTTAAAAAATCAGACTATGCCGGGGCCTGGCAGTGCCTTCAAAGGGGACTTTCGTTAAGCGGAATGTGGCATCAGCTGCCTTTCTTCAAAGGGCTTATGGGCACAAAAGACCAGCCAGCCCCATTTCGCAACCCCAAGAGGCCCTTTCTGAGGGGAGGGTTTTGGAGCAGGGAGGACTCTCCTCCCTTAAAAGGATCCAAATGTTCTCAAGAACCTCATAATTTTAGGGCTGGAGAGACCTTGGAGGTCATCCCACTCTGTTTTACACAGGAAGACATTGAGGCCCTGAAAGGGAGCTTGCTTGAACTTATACAGTTCATAGAGGGCAGACACAGGTGTTACAGGTCTTTTGAGAGGCAGCATGGTTGGGGCGGCTAGGTGTAATGGAGTCAAGACAACCTGGGTTTAATGATAATAATAGCTATGTGCCAGGCACTGGGCTAAGTGCTTTACAAATGCTGTCTCATTTGATCCTCACAATGACCCTTAAAGGCAGGTCCTATTATCATTTTACAGTTGAGGGAACTGAGACAAACTGAGGTGGGATTTGAACTCGTCTTTCTAGCTCATGGCCCAGTGCTTTATCCATTGGGTCACCTAGTTGCCTATTTAAGTGTTGACTCTGGTGCTTTCTAGCTGTGTGATCCTGGATGAGGCCCTTAACCTCTCTGAGTGTTAGTCTCCTCATCTGTAAAGTAAAGTTAGTATACCTGTAGTATCTGTCTCACCAGATTGTCAGGAATCTCATGAGGAGATTGTAAAGCCCTTTTGAAACCTCAAATACATAGAAGCATTATCATTCTGACCTCAGGCCAATGGTTTGCTACTTTTGGCCATTGAAATTATATCAATCAAGATAAAATAAGGCAGAGGCCCATTTGGGAGGAGGGGTAGGGTCTTTCTGGGGCTGATTGGGGAAGGGCAAGACCCCTTTGCCCGTTGGCAGATCCACCAAAGACCAGCATCTCTGTGCTCAGGTGTAAGACTCAGGCCCTGAGATTGATGACGGGAGTGGGAAGAAATGCCCATCCAAATCCTAGATGCCTACTGTGTGCTGGCTGCTGTGAGGATCCCCATGTCCCTAGCCTCCAAGACTTTATAATCTAATTAGAGAATTGAGTCAATTCTCAAGTAATTATGTAAAAATGCCAGTGATGAGAACAGTACAACATTCAGAGAAAAGAGAGAATGTTTAGAAACATTCAGAATTCGGAGGGAACTTTGAGGGTATCTATTTCAACCTCCTTTTACAGACAAGGAAATTGAGGTGTAGAAAGTCATTTGCCTAAGGCCACATAGCTAGAACAAGCCAGGGCCAGGATTTGAATTAGAAGACCTTACAGACCCAACATTCACTACTAGGTTTTTCTGACCAGGAGATCAGAAGTTTTTCAGGACCTCAGAGTAGGAAGGGCCCTCAAAGGCCATCTGTTGCAACCCAGAACCATGGTGTCAGAGATTTTGAGTTGGGAAAGACCTTAGAGGTCACTTAGAATATCCCCCTCATTAGACAGATGGGAAAAATGAAGGCCAGTTTTCTGTGTGAGGTTACATGTGTGGTGACAGTCAGAATTAGAACTCAGGTTCAAGAAATCCAAATCCTTCCTTCCATAATACTGTGCTGCCTTCTCCTGTGCCTGAATAAAAATTCTATTAAATCAGTATTTATTAAGTGCCTATCATATGCCAAGAAATGTGCTAAGCACAATCAATAATCATTTATTAAGCACTTACTTTGTGCCAGGCACTGTGCTAAGCACTAAAGATACAAAGAAGGCAAAACACAGTCTGCCCTTGAGCTCACAATCTCCTGGGGGACAACATGCAAACAATTATGTACAAACAAGCTGTAGATGGATAAATTGGAAATAACAGAGGGAAGGCACAGGTAGCACAAAGACAACAAGTCTCTGCCCTCAAGGAGATTACATTCTCCTGAGAACCAAATGTACACAGATAAATAAATACAAAATAGAAGTAATACAAAGTTATGTCTTTGCTAGGAGGGGAGGGAGAAAGACAGTCCTGCCAACTGAGTGGGTCATGAAGAGCCTTCCCATGGAATTGGCAATACTTAAGCTGAGCTTTGAAGGGAAGAAGGGATTCCAAGAGGGAGCTGTGGAGATGAGTGAAAGCATTCCAGACACTAGGGACAGCTTGTGCAATGTGAAGCAAGGGATTATCATTCTTGGGAAATGACACAGACGTAGGCTAATTTGGTTAAAATGGAGAGCCCCAAAGAAACATCTGCAGTCAGTGGTCATACTGTTGTTGGTTTTGAACTCTTTGGGGGCTTCATTTTCATCTAGATCCAGAAAAGGATGCATAAGTCCTTAGCAAGGGCTCCTCCCAACTCTCCTATTCTGTGTCCTAAGATCACCCCCAGTTCTGACATGGTGCTATAGATAGATTTCCCACCTTTTTACATGTCTGTTTAAAAACAAAACCCTAACCCTAAGGTCCTATTCCACAGGAAATGCCATTGCTTCCCTTTCCTATGTGACCTGGGAAAAGTCTCTGGACCTCAGTTTCCTCATCTATCAAGTGAGGAAGTTAGATTAGATGGCTTCTAAAGACACTTCCCACTCTAAATCTGTGATCCTGTGATCCTTTTTGTGAGTGAAATTCATATCTCCAGATAAACTACAAATACCTAACTGTGAAGAGCCTTCCTAGGTTTTGTTTTTTTCCTCTAACACTCTCAGCAACTTTTATCCATCTTTGAGTTGTGTTTAATGCAGGGCCATTGCTAAGAGGAAGGCAGACTTGGGATCAAAATCACATTGCGTCCCACTGACCCACATCATGTTCCCTTAAATGTGATGTTGATGGAATTTGGTGAGTGAACATGCCAAGGGCAGCCTTGATCAGTGGCATAGAGAGATGAAACATTAATAGAATCAGAACCAGAACCCCAGAATGGAAGGGACTCCAGAAGCCTTCTAATCCAACACATATCTGAATAAGAGTCTCTTCTACAAGTGGATGTCCAGGTTTTGCTGGGATGCTTCCAGGGAGGGAGAACCCACTACCCTCCACCCTAAGACAACCCATTTCTGTTTGGATGGAAGGGAGCCTAAATGGATTATTTCTAGCTTCTATTCCTTCCTCCTTCTGGGGCCAAGTAGATCAAGTCCAGTCAGCCTTTCACATGATGGCCTCCAAGCACCTGAAGTTAGCTCTTATGAACTGTCTCCCGCCTGAGTCCTCTGCAGGCTAAAGATTCTTGGTTCCTTCAAGCAATCTTCATGTCCCAAGGACTTGAGGCTCTTCACCATCTTGGATG